GTTGCCGAGGTCGCTACCCGCGGTTCACCTTCTCCTGTGCGCCGGCTCCTCTCGAGGCGGCCTGTCTCGCTGCCCCGCCGCTTCCTGAGGCACTGCTGCGATCTGCCAGGGCGATAAGGAAAAGGCCTTAAAAACAGCAAAAAATCGGCGCTGTGAGGAACGCTGCCTGAGGAAACGAAGAGCGGCGTGGCGTGTGAGCTGCGTGCCTGCTTGCTCTCAGCCGGCGCAGAAAGCTGCTTTACCTGCTCGGTTGTTGTCAGTCCCAGGTTTCTCAAAAATACTTCCCCTCTCCCTGCTTTCTGCCGTGAGCTAAAGCTGCGTTTTGGCAGGGAGCGGTCTGTACCTGTAAGCACCATGGAGCCAGCAGCAAGCAAAAATACGCGTTTCATCTAATACGTTCATGTAACTTGAAAGGGGAGAGGATGTTGTCTAGGTTTTCCTTCTGCTGCGGGTATACTCACATTTGATAAGCGGGAAAATTCCTCATTTAGCTCAGTAGGAGGAAAAATTAAATAAGCAGTTATCTGAAGCTTTTTTTTTTTTAATTTGATTATTTAGTTTGGTTTTTATTAGCTAGATCACTTCTTCAGTGTGGTTTGCTCCTGCTTAACTAAGTATTACTATTGGAGAAATTAATGGAGAACCAGCACCTCTGATGAGGTGCCTGAAAGTTCAGCAGTTGTTATTCTGTGCGCTGGAGCGCCTACGTCTCATCATGGATCGAGTCTGAAGCAAATGGCTCTTAAGTCGCACAGAACGCTTCTGCTGGAGCAGATGAAGCCATTTTTTGCAAAAGTGGTGACAGATTGCCCTCGTGAATTTACTGCATTCAAACTTTGTCATGATCATAGCAGGAAATAAAGTTTTCTGGGCATAAATTATAACCAGTTACCTAGAGAGTAGCAAATATCACAGTTTATGTATCTGTTTCCCAGGGAGATGACAGCCTGTCTGTGATAACCTATGAATCAGATGCAGAAATGGTGAGTTTTATTAATGACATGCTGCAGATGAATGCTTAAAAAGACCTCTCAGGATGTTTTTGCACACACCACACCCACGTGATGTCTAGTGATCGATTAAATAGATTCTGCAGACAATAGAGTTAACAATATGCTATTGCAATGTAGCTTGATACAGAAACTTCATCTAATTCTGGGTGCAGTTCTAGGTTCTAAATTCTCAGCACTCCAGGCTGGAAATTGTTTGGCATCATTTCACTGTTTACCAAGTTATGGGCCCTAAGTAATCGTTTTATAGTATTCTAATGGAATTGAACAAATCTTTCTGTTAATTAAATGGTCCTACAGATCGTTCTCTACTCTGTGATCATGTTGGACTTGCTGCTACTCATACTTTGCGTTCTAGGCATAAATGACAACTTTGTAGCATAAAACATCAGTAGGATCTCCTTAATTAGGGTGACTGTTACTGTGGCCAAATTCAATCTCTCTTTCTGTATATACTTAATGCTACGATTTATGTTTTATACCCAGAAGGTTTTGTGTTACTAGAGCAGCCATTCCCCATTAAAAATAGAGTTTTAAGCCAATTTTGAGGTAATATGCTGAAATCTTGGAGCAGTTTAAATACACAGGAACTTTTTTCTTTCTTTCAGAAGTTAAAGAAGAAAATTTTTCACAAGCCTCCAAAATCACCAAGTAAGAATTCCAAAATCTTGTTCTTGCGCATCCATTATGCGGAACAAGATAGATTTCCATGGGACATGAGAACTGGAAGATTTACGTGAAACAACATCTTGTGATTCTCTCTGGGGTTATTCACTGCTGCGTGCAGAGCACATCCATCTCAGATTTGTATTTTGTAAACAGCAAATTTAGGCTTTTGTAGCCTAAAATTGATGTTTATGGTTTAGTTGTAACTCTTGATCCCAGGCATATACTATTTTCATTTCACGTTGTTCCTTCTAATGACTAGCATTCTGAATTTCTTTTTCTCCTGATTTCTTTGAAGAAATGCTGATTCTTGCTACATAGAAAGAGTCCAAAATTACTGGAGCTGTGCATCCCACTATCCAGTAGATAACTGTGGCTATGGATTAAATAGTTCTCTGTTTCATTTGTTGTTTCTTTCCCATGACCTTAGAAGTACAATGTAGAGTCTTATGCCCAGCTATTATTGGATCTTTTGTTTTAACAAACCGCAGAATTATTAGGGGAGGTCACTTTTGGGGGGTTTATGAGTGTTACTGTGCTTTTTCCATTTACCTTCCCTAATCTAATTCCAGTGAATGCTTCAAAAAAGTCTTTATCTCAAACCTGTTGCTGATCGTTGTTGTTTTGTTTATAATAAATGAAATAAATTTGCACTTTTTAACTTTCCTTCAAGTTAAGGAGGACGCATGCCCATGCTCTTCTGATAGCTGTATACCTATCTTCCTTCTTTTACTGAAGCTCCCTTGCCTGTCTAAAAAATAGCTTGAAATAGCTGTTTAATTTCAGTGATGACTTTTGTGACATTGTTTCTGATTGTGCTTCTCTTGATAATTTAAAAACTAGTTAACCATATAGCATGAGTCTATACTAATCATTTAAAGCAGAGTTAGCATATTTAAACCTGGCCACCTTGCCTGAAGCAGTAATGCGAGGAACTCCCCAACAGTTGCATCAGGCCGATTCTGTTCTTTAAAGACTGCGAGAAAATTGCTAGTGGATTATTAGCCATACAGTTACTTTTATCTGTTTAGCGATGCGTATTCCTCTCATTGATAGGATATTTGCGCATATGTTCATGGAAAGGACAATTTAATATATGAATTTAGGCATGCAACTGTCTTAAGGATGCGTATTCAAACTATACATGTGAATATTTCTGCATATGTTAGGTCATGTTACTGTGCCTTTTTCCAAGCTTCTTCATTTCTTGGAGTTGGATTTTTTTTTCTAATCTCAGCTTTTTAGGTGAATTTCCCATTGCTCTGCATGAGCCAGGATTTAGTGGGTTGTTAAACTGTGTTTTTATAATTAAGAGGACTGTCTGGGAACATGGAAGCACAAGACTGAAAGAAATCTTGT